AGAAACTTTCATAAGGAAAGCAAAGTATATGTAGGAAAATATTATTAGGATATATACTGGTTTGTTGTTTGCTTGTTTGTTTAAAAAGGCCATGAGGAAAACTGCAACGATTTACACCTCTTACAATGATATATCCATCTAGACAGCTAAATGGAAGAAAGCTGTACTCCTTAGACTATCTCTAGATCCAATACGCTGTGTTAGAAAAAAAATTATATGTCCTCTTCAGTATGAATGAAGAGGACATACTTTGTTTAGCCTACTTACCTAAGAAAACCAGGCTTCTGAGACCACATTGACTACCCAACATTCTTTGAACAGAGCTGAAGTTTTCAACCAAATTTGACAGAGACAAATAAAAAAATTAAGAAATTTCAATTTCTGCCAGCGTCATGGAAACAGATGGGTAAGGCTGTAAAGAAATGACCTGTTTAAGCTCTCACTGAATAAAAGGCTATTAAATTCTCTAAGACCCAAATTTATTTATTTCTGTTCTTACATAACCCAACAGCACAGTGCTGAACACCTCGCTCACGGCTCATATAGAATGAACATGCTATACACCAAAATAGCTGTAAGCTATAAGGGATGCAATGCAGGAAAGGGAACCCCTACACTTTTTGTGAAGGTCAAAGTGCCCTGAGTTTCAAGCACGACTCTCTCTACCAGGCTTAAAACAGAATAAAAGGAACATAAGAAAATGAATAAGCAACATTAAACTTCCCATGAAGTTTATCTCAACGTGAACAGACTAATTCCCAGTTAGAACTAATGCCTTATTGCTTGTAGACAAATCAGCATTTTAGAAATTTCCACTAGGCACTGAATTGGTGCTACAGCAAACAATGATGCCAAAGCCTATACAGTGACTGTCAGATGAAAACACAAGAAAACCCTCCAAAATGCTAAAGACCTTCACAAGAAACACTTCAGTTCCTCATCTTCGCACTCATTAATAAATATTCACTACAGTCAATTTGAATTACTGTTAAGAGTTTCAAAGGTGAAACAGGTGTTAATGAGGCCAAAAGAAATACAAGAACAGAGGTAACTGTGGAATTTAAAAAAAATAGACCAAGGAATACCCAGGAAGCCCTTTTCATGTAAAATTAGTGGCAAAAGAAGAAAACCTGTACCTAAAGCTATAACAATAGTTCATGATCAGGTGTGACTGGGGCTTCTCAAGGCACTCTGCTTCCATGTGTGTTACTGTAACAGGACACACATCCATTGCTCACTACTGTTAATTACAATGAAAACCTCCTATAATTAACTGTAAAAGAATGCACCAATGGAACTGAGATAAAACAACCTTTCCCCACACATCCATGTATATACATAGCAGTGATTTTTTTACTCTGGCAATTCTGCAAAATAATTATTTTAGTAAAACAATAAAGATTCTGACGCCTCTCATATTCTTGCAAGATCATTTACATAGAGATTCCATAAGCTATTCCGGCAGATGACGTCAGGAAGAGGTGCTCTAAATTCAACCTATTACAAAAGCAAACCATCTTGCTACAGTACTCAAACAGGATGTTAAATTCATATGTTGCGTTATTAAAAAGAATTTTTGTCCCTCTCTCATTCCCACCAGGGGCAAAGACCTAAGCCCAACCATTTTTCAGCACTGCCCTGTGTAGCCCCCTCCCAAGTTGTGTGCCCGAGAGGCGCTAATCCTCTCTCTGTGGCATCGGCCACCCTCGGCAGGCGTGACGCACCAGCCCAGAAGGCTGCTCAGGACAAGTTCTGCATATCTGATCAATCAACACTTTCAGTTGTTACCCACCAATTTGAACAGAAGGCTTTTCCCTGTCAGTTTTGCCCACCCACAGCCAGATGTCACCAGGTCCCACTAACGTCCCAGATATCACAACCGGACCCCTCTGCAGGGACCAGTAGGTTGCTGGCTGCTGGTAAATACATTTTTTCAGCTTTTAATGAGGCAATCAGCATGAACTTCACAGAGAAAAGCCAAAGAGAGTTTTACCTACCATTAAGTTCCCCCTCCATGGAATCCTAAGTCTGCTCTGAACTATGAATGAACCCTCACTCCTCCCCAAAACCCCTTCTTCTGATGCCCGTTATTGGAACAGTCAGTGAGCAGGTAAGAGTGATTAATACATTTGTATAATGCCCATGTATCTGGGAGCAAAGCTTGACCTGCCTATCTAAAATAACTTTATGGAGTCAATAATTTTTTATTCCAAATAAAAGTGATGGATATGAAGATCACTGCAAAATGGACAGGACTTTGCAACAAAACTTACACTTCTTTCTATTAATCATTTCATTTTGTCAGATTTTTCTTCTCACTCTTCCTCATCCCATTGGACAAAAAAAATTCCAAAACATTACCTCCTAATCTTCCAAGCTTCAAAGTCAAGCTCTAAATGAATTAATACAATCACAACTTCCTTCATAAGTAAGTCACTACAACCCTAATGCCAAGATACCCAACACACTATGGTGAATCAGGCCCTCTTACTGCACTGCTTGTTCTCTCCCTGAAATGCTGCAGGTTGCCAGCTTACCCACCAAAACAAGCAGGATGAGGATGAGCTACATGGCACACACTGGCTATGACATTCTGCATGCTCCCAAATGTGATTAGCACAGAAAATGCGAGAAGACCAGAAGGCATCTTTCCATATTTAGCCATATATGTTTAATACTGAGTTAGATTTCACCTCAGTGCATTATTCCATTAATCAAGGGTGGGTATAAAAAGAGAGACACAGACTGACATCAGCTACTTTCAAGACCTCTCTTCCTCATTCCCCCACCTCCAGCTTCTATGACACCATGTATTGTGCATTTCATGTGCATTCATGTGTGCAAACAGCAGAGACTTATCTATAAAGATCAGTTATATGGTAAAACTGCAAAAGGAAACTTTCACCCTTGTCCAGCTGGTTGAATAACTGCAGAGGCCAACAGCAGCAAGCCTCTAAATACATCCTGTTCTTCTCTCTCCACCCCCACGTCTCTAATCACTTAGGAGGAAGATAGGAAGATTAGCAGAGAGGAAAAAAAACATAACCAAAGCTGCAGATAACCCTTTAGGACCACAACGTCAGGCTATAAGAACATGGAGCAAAAGGTTAATGCAGCTGTATTTTCAGGAACCTCAAGCACAATTGCATTTAAAGGGGAGGGAGGGGTAGTGAGAAGGTGAGAGAGAGAGAAAAAAGGAAATGGTGATGAAGACAAAAATGAATTTGTCATCTACAGCTGGCTCTTTGATCACCTGGAGTATTCGGGAAAGGATTATCAGCAGAAATAGGGCAGTTTTATTAACATTATATCATAATTTTTCTTGTAGGATATTTTCATTACCATCATCAAAACAGATTTTAGTAAGAACACAGCTGCAGGAGACCCACTGAGCTATGCAAAGGATAAAGGTGGTAACCAAAACAGTGACAGAGAACTACCTATAGCAGCTGATTTACTGAAGAGATTTGGGAAAAAAAAAAAAAAAAGAAATATAAATAAAAGTCACTTCCACTAGAAGACAATGTCATCTTCATCCATGTCTCTGAACGGTTGCTATGGGGTTGTGAAGAGGAGGGGAAGGATGGGGGGGAGGTTATAATCAATCATCTCAGAAGAGCATTGCTTCTTACAGAGAAAGATCTGGATTTTGACTGTGTCCCTAAGAAAATTGCGGACTGCAGAGCTGCTGCCACGCAGGGCAGTGAGGAAGCAGGCAGAGCAGAGGCAGCAGCTGGGGATGGAAACGCCTATTAAATCCTTTAGACAACAGATGGGCAAAGCTCGGCTGGGTTATAAAAAAAAAATACACCACAATGCATCATGTTTTATTGTCCCACCATAATGAACAACACTTAACACCCACATGCCCAAAGAAGCCCCCCTATGGCTGATCTTACCCCTTCCCTAAATTATAACCTCAAGTCTCAATCCACTTTTGGGGGGATCCCAACCCAATGAATTTGCCAGATGCCATTGCTTACTGCACCTGTTACTAAAAATAAAATATTTTAAGAAGGAAGACATTTGGGCTTCTTTTTAAGGGTTTTTCTTCCAATTAATACTGCCCTGCCCTTGAAGTGAATATGCTACCCAAGCAAGCAACAGTAAGTCCAGATCTTGAACGCATTTGGGGGATCTAATTATGTCATGTAGGGCAGAAGCACCTGCTCTCTGCTAATTCCCTCCACTCGCTTTCCTCTTTTTAATATTTCTTACCATTGTTCCATTCAGGAAAATCTGCTGGGGGCAAGTTTCATAAACAAGCCTTAAGAAAAATAATTAAATAACCTCCCTTCCCCCCTCCCAACCCCTCCTACAAAAACACAGCATAACCAGAATGAATTCTGCTACCGATCCTCTATTTTTATTTTATTTCAGACCCTACCCACAAAAACCACCAGCCCATCCATCCATATTTGCTAAATACCCACAGCAGTCAGTGCCAGAGACATACTGTACATATTTCCACCAACCCCCCCCAACTGCACCTTAAGGACTACACCCTTTTCAATCATGATGTCATGAAATACTGCTGGTGACTCCCCCACTACCACCACCACCACCTCCTCGGTACTACAGGCTGTGAACCTTTAATTTCAATATAATTTGATTAAAAAGAAAAATGCTCCTAAGTAGGGCAGTGAAAAAACGGATGTGAAAATTCACTACCAGCAGATCATCTATTTTTTTCCTCTGCATGCACTCTGGCTGTCATCAGAACAACACCCATTAGCAGGAGTAATGAACATAAAGCATCCTGGGCTTTTTTTCTTTTCTTTTTTTTTTTTAAGAAAAAAAAGGATAAAGGAAAAAAAGGAAGAAAAGAAGGAATTAAAATGAAAACTAAAAATAAATAAAGGCCAAAATCCCCTATGAATATTATCTTCACTGAAACAGCAAATGGGAAAAGCTGAACCCTCGAACACCCCATCCCCGACACCTCGCCGGCTGCTACAGCACCTTCCCTCTAGCAGCGGTGCTGCTGCAAAGGAACCAACCTGTCTGTCCTTTTCCTAGGGTTTTCTCCAAACGATAGGGTCCAACATATTGTGCATGTTGAGCTCCGCTGCCTTCTTTCCCTGTTGATGTCATTTCTACCTGGATCTGTAATTCTGCAATGTGTATGTGCTGATGAGCTGGAATTTCTCTCTCTGCAGCTCTTTAAATTCCCACTTTGCAGCTGTGCAAGCAAAGCACTCTTTTTTCTTTGCTTTAGTCCCCTTGGTTGCAGATTTTCGTCTTCCTCCTCTTTCTTTCCTCTCTCTCTCACGTGCTTGTTTTCTCGCTGGGTCTGCTCGGGACGCCGAAAGACGAAGGAGTTGTTTCAGTGTTCAAAGAGGGGGATCTGCGATCCAAGCCCGAGGAGCATGATGCTGGTGATCCGAGCTCCGCACGCCTTGTTCTCTCCAGGAGCTGTTCAAGGGAGAGCCAGAGCTGGAGCAGCGGAAGAGCCGGGGCCGCAGCTGTGAATGGCACCGAGAGCAGCCAATCCCCTCGCCTCCCACCTCCTTCTCCCCTCCTCCTTCACTACCTTTTCTTTTCCATCAGCAGCAGTTGCTGCCTCTGCCTGCTACAGAGCATCATGACCAATGGCAGCAGCAAACACCTAAGTTCATCAGCCTATTGATAAGGCACAATTAAATATAATGTAATATGTATATTCATTTAAGACCCAAACATACACTTCTCTTTTTTTTCCTTTTTTTTTCTTTTTTTTTTTTTAATCCTCTGAATTCTACTCCACTATGCAGCTGCAGATTATTAAAGAAAAGGCAAGATTGTGGTAGGAAATAGGAAAGGGGGGGGGAAAGCTACTTCTGAAAACGAGCCTGGGAAATTATTTGATTCTATTTGATTCTGGCAGACCTCTGTCTCCTGGGGGTTTTACCCTTTAAAGGAAACCTTGGGGAAAGAGGGGGGTTGTGGCGGAGAAGAGAAAAACAACAGGCACAATTCTGTAACCACTGAACTCAGTGACAGACCTGCTTTTGAATTAGATAGGGAAAAAAAATCTTTGGGTCCTTAGTGAACAGATCAAAAACTGGCCACTCTCTTAATTAAAATTGCAACCGAAAATCCAGGGATTAGATGGTAATAGGAGCAGATTGTCTGATCCACAGGCACTGTACTAGCAGTGTAAGAAAACTTTCACTGTTTTTGTCCAAGTATGGCTGTGTTTAACCTTCAGACATTAGGGAGCTGGACAAAAGAAGGGACTCTGCAGATACTTCAAATTCAGCAGAAACCTATGTACTTTCTGGATTCAGGACTGTACAACAGTTTCAGCCAGTCTCCAGGGATATCCAACTGAAGTTGTTCCCACACACACAGGTTCCATTTTTACCCTCTTTTCCCTACTTCAGACAGAAAACTGGTCAAGATATTGCTATTCAAATTCCAACTGAGACACAGACAGAGCAAGAATTCTTGAGTTAGGGACAGTAGCCTTGACAAGCCTGTACAGAGAGAGGAAAACTTTTACAAGCCTTATCATTATCTGTTGCTCTCTGGAAGAAGACTACTTCAGGTTTGTTATTTAAACCCATTTTTTTTTAAGAGAGAAATTGACCTTTATTGAAATATCTATATCCAGAAACAACAGATGCCCTTGTAAATTGGAATAAAACTAGAAATTGGCTGTCTACCTGTACCACAGACAACATGACTATCCACCAAGGTGCAGAGGAGTTAGTAAGAGGAGGAGGGAGGAAATCGGGCTTAAGCAATTCTAAGATTTCTTCAGGAAACAAAACTTTAACACTTGGTGTGGGAAAAAACAACTCTGCTTTGCCCTTTACTGTTCACCTTTACTCACTTCTAGACTGTGTCAGTGCAGCAACCTGTAAGCAAAGTCCCAAACACCATCCCCATTCCTCAGCTTCCCCCTCCACAGGCACCCTGTGTGACCACACACCGAGACTCCTTTGCTGCCACGCACTGCTTCTGTGTCTTTCCAGTGGCAAACTGTCCCTTCCAACCCTCCAGGTGTTTCCTTTGCCCTTACTACTCAACTCAACTCAACTCCAAATTGCCATTTCTCCAAGCTCCCCAGACCTCTCCTTGTTCTCCCACATCCCTCAGAAGACCTCCTTTCCCTATGGCTACGAGCCATGATGGGACCGTTCCAGGAGAGGCACCATGGTGGGAGAAGCACTCTCCCTGATGGGCTCTTGCCTACAGAAATCAAATGCTGGGGGCAATTGAAATGTGTCATGATTTCTGATGTTTTACTCCTCTCTAAATATCTGCCCTCCCACACTGTCAAGAAGTCCCAACAGACAGTAAGTGGCAATGCTGAACTGCGGCAATGTGTGCATAGCTTGCAGAAAAACAAAAATATTGTTCATTTGTATAAATTAGGTATCCATCATGTTAATAATGCAGGGGGTGAGTATCAGCATAGATCAAAATCTTTTTTAATTCCAAGATTTGTATCTTAAAAGGTATTCAATACAAGATGATGATGTCTGCATGTAGATGAACCATATGTGGGTCATGTTGTTAATAGAATGACGAGAAATCAGACAATGTTGTCCATCCAAGTCCAAACTTGTATATTTCATTGGGCATTCAGGAAAGTGGGTTAAGAGACACGGATGTTACAAATACCCACCTTCTGTCACAAAACACGTGTCAGTTTCATGGCTGGAATAAGGTCAGAAACTTAGTGAAGTTCATATGATCCTGACTGGAGGATAAAACAACACAAACAAACACAAAATATCTGTGCACAACCCCCCCCACCTTCTCCCTCCTCCCCCTCACCCCCCCCAAAAACCTCCCATATCCCTTTGGTCTTGTTTAGTTATGTTATTACGTTATTTTGATTCTGTTGGAATGTCCTTCTGTATAGCCTATTGCAACAATTTTAACCTTTTGTCCTAAACTCTGTTTGAAAAAATGCTTGGACATTTCTTGATTACTGAATAATCAAATGGTTTGGGGTTTTTTTTCTTTTTTTTTTTTTAATTTTATGTATTTGTTCATATGGAGCCAAATCCCATTTATCTGTACCCCTTTGATCTGAAACTCAGTCCTTTGAATCTAGGTTATGTCCCCCTGGTGTGAATTACTTATACAATAACTCCCTCAATTATTTGAAGCCCTGTTTATCCAAATGTTTTGATGTTCCAAAAGTATTTTGAATAAACAGGACTCTGCTGTCATTGGATCCATCAGATATCTTTGGGGATGCATATGGGATGATTTCCCCTGACCTTATTCTGTATAATCTTGTGCCTAAATGAACAAGAAATGTAAACTTAAGTGTATAGTTGGCATATTGGCATAATCTTAGGTTCTTGTACTCTTTTCTCCATTATTTTTCTTTTGTTATTCTCATTTAAGGACTAAATTTCTCTCAGGAAGGACTCAACAATGATCCTAGAAAAAATTTTGCTGGAGTATGGAGTGAACAAAAAAGAAATTATTTAGAATTTTGCTGTTTTATCATACTTCTGGGGGAAAAGGTGAGCAAAGGATTTGCACTTTTTTTTTTTTTTGGTATTTTTTACCCACTCCCATTGACACTAGCTTGTGTCTAATGAAAGTCTTTATTATCATTTGTTTTCTTAGATGCTTGTCATTGCCTTTCCTCTTATTCCCATAAAAATCTTAAGGGTCAAGATGGATCACGAGATGATGAAAAAAGCTACAGGAAAAAACAAGTCCAAAAAACTTCCATGAGGAAGTTTTGTTTTAATGTTTTTCACTTGTTCAGTTGAATATATGTTTGAAGTTAGTACTGAAAAAAAGGAAGCGTAATGCTTCCAAGAAAAGTCACCAATAAAGTTGTGCAATTAGCATGGAATAATAAATCAAAAGTCTTCTCATGGTAAGAAAAATTTAAGCTAGGACTTTGTCTCCAATTAGAATAACTTAGCAGCTAATGGTTATGATTAGGACATAATAAAGAGGACAAAAACATTCAGCATTTTCAATGTCAGGATCCATTATCACATCCTGAATTGTGTATTCCATCCACATACGTATGGACACATTACACACCTTTGGTAAGTGGTGTAGGGATTTAGATATTTTCAGAATTAACCTCATTGTATAGATATCTCATAAGACACTCATCCAGGTGTTTGAGGGACATTTAGTCATCAATACTGTTGACAAACTGATAATATGTTTATTTAGGACAATTATATCAATTCGCAACCTCTTCAAACAGATGTTAACAGTCTAAAATTGAAAATTTTTCTCCTTTGCATTAGGTAACTATGCCTTTGTAAGAAGCCAAGGAAGACTGCAAGAAATGAAAGGATTGGATTTCAGTAAGTGGGTGGTGTTTCGAATTCTTAGAACACACTCAGGCTCCAGACGCTTTTCTTACTGTAGCAAATGTTGAGGAACTTAATTAGTTAACATCAGTTGCTGGAAGGCAGTGCTTCCACACAGACCCCCGCTCTGGCAGCTCCTAAAAACTGGTCTGTATTGCTCAGCAAAGCTGTACCATGACAGTAGTTAGGCAGAATCTGGAGATTTTACTGCCATTATTACTATTGTTAATAATAATTTAGCTAGTATTATTCAGATTCTTGGTGTTCTACATACTCTTGTACATCATTTTTAATACTTACCAGAAAAAATGAACTGTTAGCTTATTATCTACATATCATCATTGTTTCAAGCTGAATTAAGGTAAAGGCTTGTAAAATGTTTAATAACAAAATAGATAACTGCTTTCACAGTATCATTTCCTCTGGACCATGGACTCTCTTTATTCCTTTGGAAATATTACTGTCATTTTCTCAAGCCTGCTGCTGTCATTACCTATGCCTCACAGAATTTATAAACTATTAAGAAACAAAAAGCTATTTCCAGCTTAACATAGCAATATGAAAACATCTGTATGAAGTTTTTTTTTTCTTACACTGAGCTTTGTGCTTCCTAATGATATGAATATGCAGGCTCATTCCCTTAGTTCACTAAGGGGAGCTGTGACTGGGTCTTGACAGAAATCAAACATGAAAGCAATGAGACACTTTAGCATGAGGATGGGTCTGTGGTAACTGACCTGTCTTTGAGGTACAAGAGACCAAAAGAATGTCTGCCTGCAGCTGTCAGAGCAAGTCTCCACCTCCCCTAATACTGTACCTCCAGTGGTGCCTGTAAGTACAAACAGAAGGAAGAAAAAGTCCAAGGCAAGTGCACGTGATTCTTGCCTGCAGTACTCTCTCAGGATCCCATTGTTTTCAGCTCAGGGACTTTCTGAGCCAGATGTTGTTTCTGTGTGTGCCTCAACAGATTTTTTTTTTCCCCCGAGCTTGTTTTTGTCTTCCCTTAAAATCTTGACACCATGACAGATGGCCAGATATCTCTTCAGATTATGTGCATGCTTCTCAGAAGAGAGTGAATCCTTGAGACAAGTAACATCCATTGATCAATGCTCAAGAACCCCAAAAAGGAAAGAAAGAAAATTATGTGTGAGGCACAATTCTT